ATTTATATTTTATATATATATATATATATATATATATATATATATATAATAAAACTCGTAGAGATGGTAATAGATTTGCCTCAAAATTTATTAAGAAAATAGACGAGATCTTTCGGGCGTAACCCTTTATCAAGTCAGTGAGATATATATATATATATATGGTTTAATTGCGGAGACTAGAGGTACGTCGAATGTCTCAATTTGTAGGATATTCTATACGTTAGTTCCAAATCGCTAACCTACGGATATTGTAGGCCTATTCTGTATGTCCAAACAGGGAATAAAGATACAAAGTGATTTATTGTGTTTTCCCTCGTTAATTTAATATATGAAAAAAAACCAGCATTTACCACATATTTCTGCAAGTTTTAACGAACTGTCTGCGTGGATCGTAGCAAAGTAACAAGCCGTAGTTGTACCGCATCTTAAAGTCCGAGCCTATTAAGAGTATAATAGAAAATTAATGTTAGAGGGCGTTAAATTTGAATGTATAAACAATACTGAAGTCGAGTTGAATAGATTTAGTGGTTAAGAATCTGTCCTTCGAAACCAAGGTTCAGTTCAATTCATGTGACAGCAGGACTTTTTGTCTATAAACAACTCCACTCCATAAGCCTCATAAAGAGACTTCGATGATAAAATTATCACATTATTTCATTTATTTAAGAGAGCCCCTTGATATCAGCCAGCAACCTTCTAGGATATGCTGGAATGTCACCCACTAAAACGTATGGTTAAAAAAAGCTTGAAGAACCTATTCTCTGTCATTTACTTATCCATTTATTTAAATTCTCATTCAATTTACAGGTCATTATTATATTTATGATTATTACAATTATTATTTTTAAAAAAATAACGCCTCTTTCATCTACGGCACTCGTCAAAACAGCGAATAAAGCAATTATAGAACACAAAAAACAAAAAAACACACAGATCAGATATTATTATTGTTATCATCCATTATCATTATCATTACTATCACCATCATTATTATCGTTGTAGTGGCTGTTTTTGTTCCATTTATAAACCAGTATGATAAGAATATGACTTTTACCACCAGTTTGCGGTAACAACTCTCAGCAAATTCTGGATTAGAAAATTTGGACTCTAATGGGAAGGTATATTTGTCGAGCCAATCTAATAGAGGCAAGTCCATTTTTGTTCCAGCGTTTGGGTATTGAGGAGCGTGTATATGAGTATCGATCATTCCCGGTATCAGAAATTGTCTGAAAAAGAAACAAAATACGGTATTTTAATTTATAAACATTTTTAAACAGGATATCAATAACCAAAAAGCAAGCAAGATTTCCGATAATAATAAAAATAATAATAATAATAATAATAATAATAATAATAATAATAATAATAATTCTGGATTTATATAGCGCCTCACGTTAACACAACCTCGAGGCGCTTAATAATAATAATAATAATAATAATAATAATAATAATAGTAATAATAATATAATAATAATAATTATAATAATAATAGTAATAATAATAACAGTAATCATGATAATGATAATAATAACAATAATAATCATGATGTCACGATAATGGATGACACTATATATAGTTATATAATGATGAATATGATGAATGATAATAATAATGTAAAATTGATAATCTGAAATAATCCAAGGACGAGCTTATTCGGGCTTTCTACCGGATTCAGTCATCACAAATGGACACATTGAGAATTCTAGCGGTCAGTAAAATATCCGGAATCCTTGTACAGTGGTCAACGCGGTCATTTTTGTAACCATCGTTTTAAGCTCTCAACGAGAAATACCATCTCGTGGTGTACCGCATGCATTTATTACTGTCACTTACGTCTCCATGCAAACAATGCTGTCAGGTGTTGTTTATATTGTTATTTAATCGAACTATGCACATATACCTAACATACCCTCTTTTAAGATGTCGAACGGTTCGTAAATCGTAATCAGAACGTATTTTGTCGAAACCATCACGGTCAGCCACAAACTTTATCTAAATTTTGAAAAACACAAAAATGCTTTTCAAATTTATTTGACTAAAATGGAAGCATAAATTGTTTTAATATATATTATCAGTAGATGCGGATAATTTTGTTGGAAACCCCGATTTATTTAAATGACATACAGCTCCACCATTCTTTATCTGACTTTATTTTTGTTTTATTTTTTTATCTGACTTTTCTGATGGATCGTTTTAATGCCTGTTTATACTTGGATCGATAACGATACAGATCTAAAAATCCATTTTTTTTTCGCTAGGACGATTCAATAACGATTTATCGTGTATACAATTACAAAATGTTTTGACAAATCAATTCAAATGGCGTCATAATCATGGAAAAACCATAAAATCGTAGTAGTAACAACGATTTTATAGTTTTCTATGATTATGACGTCATTTGAATTTATTTGTCAAAATACGTTGTATTCAATCGTCCTAGTGTAAAAACTTATCTTATTTCTTTTATTAAATTTATATGTGAACAATTGCTTTTCTATAGTTTTTTATCGTTATCGTTGCAAGTATAAATAAGACTTAATTATCTGGTAAAATATTTGACAATTTAAAAGGACAAGATAGGCCGCTATACTTTCAGTAAGACACACTGATCAAATCTAAGATTTTGCTGATTTGCAGAGCCTGTTAATTGGCCGCAATGAAAATTACTCTTTACTAAAACATGGAAAGCAATCTAAAAAAGAAAAAAAAATCATAAAATATAGTTTTCAATTTAAGCCTGTGATTAAGCGAAGGTGTTGGATTCAGATGGAAATAGAATTAAAAAAAAACTTCTTCGCCAATAAACAGACATAAATTGATACCGTTATCTTCATCTTCTGGTACTACCGCTAATTAATTATTAATTTCTCATATCTTAAAATGTCTCTGAATCACGGTGAAAATTTGACCGTTGCCTTTTTGAAAGTTAATAGCTTGTTTAATAGATAAGCACTTTTTATCTTAAATATTTGAGGTTTTATTTCAGTGTATATTTTACCGGCAATTTACTCAAACTTGTCTATCCTTGTGGCTTGCGCTCATCATAATAAAAATGTGATAACATATAGGGATTTACCCGTTAAGATATCCACTGTCATATACAAAGCAATTTAAATAATAATCTCAACATAGGCGAGTAGGCCTAAATATTTAAAGTTTATTGCTTATTCTAACCTGTCCGTTCTTTATTCCAATGTAATGGTCTTCTAGTATCTCTAATGCATTTTCCTTCGTAGAGTGCATAAGTGTTCCACAAAATATGATATCCATATTTGCTCGTGGTAGGCCTACCGATAGTTCTACCAAACTAACCGCTGGATCTTATAGTGCGGAATTAAGTACCCGTGCTATTCTTACCGTCGCCTGTTCCATTCTTTTAGGGGGTATTGTTGCGTGGTTTACCATGAATTTTTTTTTTTTCCAACATGTTGGTAAGTTTCTAATCAGTTGGTTGAGGATTGAATATATTAAAATAAATCAAATAGTCTATTTAATGTATTATCCCAATGTTATGAATGTTAATGTTATTTATGCGCAGTGCCTCTGGCGCAGTGTTAGAGCGCCCACCATATAAATTGTCTCTATATAACGTAGTAATTTTAATTTGTGAATTTAAGTTGTCTTACTGTGTAGAATCTCTGGAAAAAATTGAGTCAATCTGATAAGTAATTAAGGAAGAATATTAATTAGCAAACTGACGAATGCCGCTATATCAATCGAAATGTATCATTTTTCACGCACTACCCATCATCATCTCGCGTAGAGTTTCCTCCTTAAACGGCAGTGCGTGCAAGCATAAATAATGAGCGTACAGTAGAACCCCTATTAGGCCTATATTAAGGGGACATTTGGGACCAAAACAATTGTCCCCTTAATAGGGGTGTCCCCTTAGTAAGGGTACCCCTATTTTGGGGACACTAACCAAAAAACATGAAATTGTCCCCTTAATAGGGGCTTTTGGTATGTTTTCGTATAATGATGATATAGATTCTTTATAATTTTATTTTAATTGACCTAACAATGAGTTAAGGTTGAATTATAACTTATAATTTATAACAATAATTTGCAATACAAAAAATTTTATGGTAGGAAATCAACTGACAGGCCTATGTAATTAAAACTACAAATATTGTATAGGCCATGACAGAAGAAATGGAGTATAAGACTATGTTCCCGATATTATCTATTTCTTGATCCGGGTGCAGGGGCGTCGGAAACTATTTTAATTGGTCCGGTCAAATATACATAATCATCATAAATGCAAGAAACAGGAACAAAATTATATTACCGTATAATTCAATATGAATAACATGTGCGCCTATTATATTTATACGAGTTGACGGATAGGCCTATTGAGAAATACATAGCCTATAAAATGATGTAGCCTAATTAAATTAACATGTGTTATAAATACACAGAGACACAGGGTACAATATGCCATGCATTATTTAGTAAACCTACATATTAATATGTCTCTTGAATTAAGCTAGGTGAATACGTTAGATTTTCAAATAACAGACTGCTAGTATATTTTTTAGTATTATTATTTAGTAGTGTTGGTTTAATAATGGCAGGAGGACCATGTATGTATGTATGTATTCCCATCATAATAGACAGATCTACCAGGTGATAAGTACTCAATAGAGCAATAAGAATCAAGTGCATCAACTTTTTGTGGAGGGTCAATATTAGAATAGGTACTGTACGTTTCTACATGGGTTCTACTCTGCAGGCCCATACAACAGTCCCGGTCAGGGTGGTAGGACAAACGCCAAGGAAAATCAATAATTTTGATTAGATACTTATTAACTGCTAGATAGGCCTACTTATTAATCAATTCAACTGATCGATTTACACTTTTTTGAATAAAAAAATTACTATGACATGGCCCAGGCCGCCCGATATACATGCGTACAACCCGAGCTGAGCGATGGCCCTGGTTCGAGACGAATACGTGTCAATTCTTTTAGAGTATTTTGCAAAATACTAGCAGGCCGATGGTAATCGGCTAGTGTAAGACATCATTTTAAATATATCATTTCTACTGTTAAAGCAATGTTTAACTACTATTACTTGTACTTACGTTAATATTTATGAAATCCCATGGTGATAAATATAAATGATAAAGCATGAATGGTTAAATGATATAGTTAGTACAAGTATGAATGATTGATATTATAGAATAGTGCGAGCTAGACAAAGACAAAACTAATGAAAAGAAGTCATGTTATCATTAGTCTACAGTACAGGTATGTGAAAATACACAAAACAAGACATCCCCATGTAAACATTAACAAGATTGTATTTATAAGAAATAACACAATCTAAAGATTGAAAGGGAACAATTCTGGTTTGGTGTTAATTTTATTGCTCAAAAGTTGTCAAAATATAAATTTGAAAGATGTTTTCTTATTTTGAGACTACTGTTAGTTGTTTTAATACAAATCAAAAGTTTCCCTTTAATAGTGGTTAAATTGTATTGATGTTACCATTTTGAGCACTCAGAAAGTGTCCCCATCCCCATAATAGGGGTGTCCCCTTAATAGGGGTTGGCTGTAGTGTTAAAGATATATTGCCCCTCGTTTCACGGAAAAGTGTCCCCTTAATAGGAGTGTCCCCAGAATAGGGATGTCCCCTGAATAGAGGGGGCCACGTGTAGCTCTAGTGTGACGCTAAAAATATAGGGAGACAGATAGACCTTTTAGGGTCAGATTAGATGTCCGTACACCAACACCAGGTGGAGTACGCACGAGCTACACGTGTCTTAACCTCTGATATTATACACAAATCACACCCCAGTTATTGGACAAGGAAAATGAAAAACATCAAAGGAAGGTTAGAGAAGCTATATGGATAAGACGCAATAACAACACCATGAATAGGAATGAAGATGAAGGGGGGTACGAATTGTCCCACGTCTACGACGACCTCCTACACCAACCCTAAGGTCCAAGAGGAGGGGGGCCTGGATGGATGTTCTGCTGGCTTCGCAACATCGCAGAGCGCACCCGTCACCATTACTTACATTATCGGTGACGTACCGTAGACATTGGATACTTGCCAATTTCATTCAGCTGAAGAAAAAAAAGCTACTGCTGAGAAACAATCCTTATTAATATTAGCTTAATATAAATGAAATTCGAAATAATAATACCTATAATATTAATTACATTAATTATAATAAGCAACTTAAACGAATCGTTTGTACTAGTTCTAAATTACATTCATCATATATATATATAT